GGTCTCGGTGCAAGCAGAGATCCCTCTCTCTCTAGTGCAATGAGAGGGGGCGGCCTCGAGCGGATGTTCCCCAGGGCTGGGCACCTCTCAGTATAATTTTTCTCAGTTGCGACTCTGACGGATTTGCCCCTGAGTGCACTCTGCCAAAAGACAGAGACGCAACTGAGAGATGATAAATAATGTGTTACAAACCACTCGAGATAGAGCAATTTACACGGTATTTACTTGACCCCCGCCCACTGTGACACAAGGTCAGTTTTTAACGTGGGGACTCGAGTGTCTTCATTTGATCCGCTGGTCTTAGCTAGTCATAGCTTTTCCAAGCAGGTCATAGCTGTGATACTACCAGCGCAGGGAACTACCCGGGCCAGGAACAAAAATTGCCCGCAGACCCCTCAACGGGCGGTTGCGCTGACCTCTGTACGAGCACCGATCCCTCTCTCTGGTGCAATGAGAGGCCGCGGCCTCGGGCAGCTGTTCCCCAGGGCTGGGCACCTCTCAGTATATTTTTTCTCAATTGCGATTCTATCAATTGCACTCTGCCAAAAGATAGAGACGCAACTGAGAGATGAGAGATTTGTTACAAACGCCTCGAGAGAGGGGTTTACACTAAAAGCTCAATATCTGTATTATATATTATCTCCTCCTAAGCAATATCACTCTTCAGGTTTAACTAATTTTCATATTGATTTTAAAAAGTTTATTTCACTAATTGTCCTTCGTTACTGTTCTTTTATTCGAGGATATTTTTTTTTCATTTTTATATAAAAAATATTCCTATTTACGAATATCATCTTATATAGTGCAGAAAATTTTGAAATTTGCATTTTACTTGGGCTTCAACATGTTGACATATTTGTAAAACTTGCCTTAACTATAACAAGCCAATTTATGAATTAAATATTCATTTAAAATTTGTTTCAATTTCAAGTATATCTTATTTTGTGATGCGATAGTGAGCAGGTGAAGCCTGCTATTAATGGATTTTATTCTTAGTCTAACATTATTATTACTTCCAACATTATTAGTGGATACTTGTATATGAAATAGAAGCCCCAAATTTTTATTTTACACAATAAGATTTCTCAAATTAACTAATAGAGACAATTATTATGCACTGTCCAAAATATTATAAAAATAGGGCGTCTGTTTCAAACATGAGTATCCAGTAAATAATAACATTTGAAGAAATATAAATAATAACTAGAATTTCTCAAGATAACATGTTCAACCTGCCAATCATTTGTTGGACAATGTCATCCTGAACAAAATGTAACTTTTATAAATACTTTCAGTACTCAAAAAAAATTGACTGTTTTCCAATATGAATTTTCTGATGAATCATAATTCTTAAATTAATGAAGGAATAAGCTGCTTGAAAGTGCCACAACAACAAAATACCCCATGGAAATTTCCCTATTGCCTTGTTAAATATTTAAGTTTAACAGTTTTAAGAAAATACTGCAATAACAATCATGAATATGTATGCAGGTCATCAAAGAAGAGAGTACAAATGAAAAGATTAAAAACTGAAATCTTTTTTTCTTTCACTGAAGTCGACATTAAAAGGCATGAGAGCATTATTGACGCCTCTATCTTCTCCTCCTTTCCCTAAAACTGACAACTGCTTTCTAAAAAGACCGCCAATCAGTGGGTAACTGGGACAAGAAATAGCTTATAAATTTTAACATCCCCCAAAACAATTTTTTTCTTTATTATGGAATCCATCCGTCTCAAAAGACCATGATCTGCACCCGAAGAGTTATGCCCTCTCCATGGTGCAGGCCTGGGCAGTTTCTTTTATGAGAGATCGGCAGTTGCCCATGCAGCATGCCCCCCCACCTCCAAACCACCAATGTTATCCAAAGGAAAGGCAGATGCCAATACAGCCTGGCACCAGTATCATGAACCCAGATTTGAATTCAAAATTGTCCTTTTCCTAGCTTAGTTGTCAGCCATAGCTATGGAGCTCAGTCCTACTATTTACCCATAATTGAACATTTTGAATTCAGAGTTTTTTTTCCCTCTCCTAGACTGGGTTCTATAGCTCTAGGTGGCAACCAGTCTTTCCTGCTGTGCATCAAAACCGTTATTTAATCACTAGAGAGAATCTTGTCTGTTTTGTTTATTTTGTTTTATGGCATATCAACATCAGTGGGCTATTTAATGTCGACAAGATTTTTAGAATAGATTCATATGAATAAAATATGTATTCTTTGAAAGAAATAAGTTTGTAGATAAGGTTTCATTGACATATTTTTACGAAGTGGGTTTTGTCCAGAGTCAAATGTATTGCTTGTAATATTTTTTTTTCTTATTTTTCAAAAATATGTCATTTTGTTTTTTTTTATCTCTAGACATGGACAGATCTAAAGAACTTCTCATGGAATGTCAGTCTTGAGAATCAATAAGTGAATTATTCTAACATCAAATTTTGATGACTAAAAGTTTTAGAGTTGATGTTTTTTTTTTTGTTTCCTCCATAGAATGTATTGCTGGTATTTTTACAATAAAACTATTTTTATAGATTTCATCGAACTCTTGTCTGTCTGCTATCAGCATGGCTGAGACTAAACTGAAGGAGAGATTTCTAAGTTTCCAAAATTACATCGAAATTAGTGTAAATACAATGAATAGGTCTCAAAATAAACAAACCCTAGAACAACTGAAAAAACCTGTGGGTTCTTGGCAAAAATCACTAGTCAGGTCATCAAATTCCTCAGCATTATGGAATTGATTCAGGTGTGCCAGTTATGCTAAATATTACTTAGTTTGAGTTCAAACTCTTCCAAAGTCATCCTTATAAGTATTTATTGGTTTAAATTAATATTTTTAAACTAGACTTTATTTTCTCTCACTCAGACTATATTTCTTTTATGTACCGTGTCCTTTCAAGATGTAGGCGATCATGGCCCTCCACCTCCTCCTGTTCCTTCTAGTTCTAAATATGTTTTATCTTTGTTATTTCTCCCAGACCCTATTCTGCCATCCACATGCTCAAGCCTATTAAGTACATTTCACATTGCTTTCCCCCCATTTTTCTTTTGCTCTATCCATCCTGTGAGTATCATATTTCCCAAGCCATACTTCCTCATTATGTGTTCCAGAAACTGCCTCTTCCTGATGTTAAGTATTAAGTTTCTTCTTCGTTTCCATTCTCTCTAAACCTTGTCATTGATCACATGTTTGGACCATGGTATCCCGAGTATTCTTCTGTAGAACTATATTTCTGTCACTTTGAGTCTCTTCTTCATCTTTAAGGAGATTGTCCAACATTCATTGTCGTACAGGAGGATAAATATCACATAGCAGTTCAGTATGGTTTTCTTTGTTCTCAACAAAACTTTCCTGTCTCTTCATACTCTGCTTAGCTTGTGGAATGCATTTTTGGCCATCCTAATACATCTTTGGACCAGTCTGAATAACCACTCTCCCATATTTTCTTCATATCTCTGCTCACATTGTGGTGTAATGGATATTGGCTTGGAATGGAAAAAAAAAAAATCAGAGAACCAAGTTCAAATTCCAGTTGTGTCCATTATGTTCACTTATGGCAAATAATCTTAGGAAATATGAATCCATCCCTTCTCCCCCCAGCTATGGGTTGAATAGCAGGTCTGTCCCATAATCTTGGTTGGAAATCAGTCTACCATAGAAAGAAACAGCAATCTATTCACTCATGAATCAAAGGAGACATGATCACCTAAGCATGTAACAGAGTTACAAAAACAAACAGAATTGAAATACTTCTCTTTTAAGTAGAAAATTAAAATTAAATGCGTAAATTAAATAGAATATTAAGAGAAATGCCAATACAAAACAAAACAATATGAAAACTAAAATTTAAAAAAAAAAAATTTTAATTTTGTTTTAAAATATTTTTGCATAGGCATTTCTAATTTTCTATTAAAAGAAAAATATGAATTTAGAGAAACCATTGAGTCTTACATTTAAAAAAAAATATTGAAGTTAAAAAAAAATTAACAGAATTTTTTTTAAATTAAAATATAAAAATTTTTTTATTCTTAATTTCGTTTTTAATTTTAATTTAAAAATAGGAAAAGAAAAAGAAAAAATTACTGTTTTGCCTTCACATAACACACATACTCACATAAGACATTTATACAAGGATATTTTGTGGAAAAAAATTTTAGTATGTTTCATCCTATATTTATTGAAATATATTTTAAAGTGGTTTTGTAAGAGAAAATCTATTAATTCTCATGTAAAATACAATATCGTAAGAGTAGACTGGAATAAAGCATGAAATCCTATATTGTAATATTAACCTTCAAAGAAAACTAAATTCAATTTGCCAAAGCAGAAAAGAAATACTGGTACATTTGTACCAATGAGTACCGGTGCATATAAAGAGAGAAAACTGATATAAAGCAATCAGTAAAGTACAATAAATCTGAATGAATCCTTATGAAGTAGATGCAAACAAAGTAAATGATTTCACTGAATATTACTCCCCATTCATTAATATGGCTGTATTAGGTGCAGGGTAGGTTTTTTTTGGTACATTTAAAAAAAAAAAAGAAAAAAAATGCATCTTATGTGAAGGCAAATATGATAACTGGTCCATTATATCCAAAGTAATGGCAGGATGTAACACACATGCTAAATTCATACTGGAGGAATAAACAAAATGATAGTATAGCACTGCTCTTTCAATAGAAAATGAAGAGAAATTGATAATTTTATTCTTTATTTATTATTATTATTATTATTATTATTTTTTACAATTGTTAGGACTTTTTACAAACAAAACAGTCATTAAAAAAAAAAAAAAAAAAAAAATCAAATACTTTTTACAATAAGTCTTCCTGGCCTTCAAGAAAAGAACTTATTGATTGTTTTGGTTGTTGCTTTTATTTTGCCCACAGAAAGTTCTTCAGAAAGGCCTTGGAGGTTATGAGCAAAATGTGGGATAGAAAGGGCAGGATCAAGAAGAAATAGACAGGCGGGTAGTGAAGGGGGTTATGGTTTTAAAATGTCTACCGAGTGACCATTGGTGTTCGAGAGAGCTCTTCTTTTTCCAAACGCTCAAAGTGTTGTCTGGCATTTCTGATATTGAGAAGGGTTGCGGCAGAAGCTGAAAATAACAAATACATTCTTACTTAAATAAGAGAACAAAAACGGTTGGGGAGGGGGGGGAATAAGCTTATCAGGTCTCCTGAATCTTTTTGTTGTTTTCTTTAAATGTTATAGGTCTAAAAGTAATATTTTTTTTTTAATCTTTAGAAGTGTGCAATATTCATAAGTATTTCATCCATTCAATATAAGTGACCAGACCACTGCAGTAGCATCATCTTAAATTTAGTCATTTTCCTGTTGCCATAGTAGGATATGACAACACTAACGCAAAATTCAACCACACTATTGGCTGATGATCAGAGTTGCATGCATTGGCTTCACAAACATTTTGTTTGACAATTGAAGTCACCTATATACATAGTGCTAAAGGTTAAATAAATAAATTTTTCTGTAATGGCAGGAAAACATTATGCAAACATGCATTAACCCCCCCCCCAAAAAGAAAATACATTTTTCTAAGGAGATCACCACCCTATGTCAGATAAGGTTGAAATTATAGACAAAGAAATGAAAAGTTATAATTAAGTAAAAAAAAAAAAAAAAAAAATGTTGATCAGAATTATTAATTTTTCAACATTGCAAATTTCATCACAGTACTAGATTGGCAGCTAGGTCTCATCATTTTACAGTTGAAATGACTAGATGTAACTAAGCTCTATGCTAACAGTTTCTCCTCTCACACTTCTTTTGATTTAAATCCAATGTCAGTCATAATTTTCTGTCTTCATAATTTCTGTTCTTTTATTGTTCTCTCCTCCTAATAATTATTTTTCTTTTTCTCATATTCTTTCACAAATCTTGCATCTTAGTGACTTTATTTCCTTGGTAAAATGACTTTAAAAAAATAAACAAGTATTTTTGCACCAAGTTGTCATCAATCTTTGTGTCTTTTCTCTTTGAGAAGTAAGCTTGCAGACATAACACTGTCTTAGGCCTTGTTTTTCCAGCATTATTTGCAGAAAAATGATGCAACCTCATAAATAAAAAAGAGATGGCAATTTGTCATCTAGACTTAAACCACAAATGAATGATGATTGTATAGTTGGAAAAAAGGTTTAAGCCATCAATTAATGATACCCAATGAAATATCAATTAATAAATTTAAAGATTATTAAATAAGAGCTCTTATCTCCCAAATAGACTTTCACATTCTCGTATTGATTATGACAACACAATTTAAAATTAAAAAAAATATTCTCTCAAAATTTTCTGTTTAAAATCAAAAAGTTAATGAAATTCTTCTGCATAGCTTAATTTAGACAAAAGCCCCCAGTGAGGAACAAACTTGCTATAAAATATTGATGGTTAACTAGACCAGTCTCAATTCTATGCCAATGTGCTGCAAGCTTAGCTTAGCAAAAACCCATAGATATGGGGCACTCAGTGAGGATCAAACTCAGTACTCAGTAGTAAAGCTCAACCAGACTACAACACTAACCCAATGCTGAGGCATCCATGAATTTCTTTATAGAATATTTTTAATTATCAAAGATCTTTACATCAAAATGTAATACTTATTTCACAAGACTTTTCGAAATTACAAATAATCCTTGTTAGATAAGGAGGAAATTCTGTCATATATGGTCCAAAATTCATTTTGGAAGAAATATGGTCCAAGATTTCAGCTTGGAGTCATCATCAGGGTAGGTAGAGATGAGAAAGTCAAAAGCTTGGACCATATTTTTTCCAAATTGATCAACACAATATCTGGTGTCTTTAATAACATTTGCTTTAAAGAACATTTTCTGCCCAAATACACAAAATTTTATATATTCTCTCTCTCTCATATATATATATATATATATATATATATACACACACACACTATCAAGAATGATTTAATATGTTTGCTACTTAAAAGCTGACCATAAGACTGAGTCATATTTTGAGGATGACAGATGAAGAGAGATAAATTGGGAAGAGTTATTATTCCTTTTGATACTCACTAATGGACGAGTCAGACATGATGACCATAACGTAAGTGTTAGAGGTGAATGCATCAACAAAGGCAGCAAAATGAGAGTTGCGCACTTCCATGCTCTGGAACGAGGCAGCCACTTTTGTACAACTGAGCTTGAACTGTTTTATGATGTTACTAATCTTCTCGAAGCGATGAACATCACGATGAGGTTTTCGTTGCCAATATGAGATCACCTGCAAAAATTGGAAAGGAAAAAAAACAGAGGAATAAAAACTCTTAGAAAGGAATAAAAACTAAAAAATAATTTTAAAAAAGTTAAAATTATAAAAGTCGAAAATGAAATGACTGCAGATTGCGTTTCAGGTTGTAACGAAGAACAAAAATAAGGTACAGAAATTTGCACTTTGGTTTTAGGCAATTCAAGTGGATGGAATACTTACAGATCTCTTTACTAAAACTAACAATTATAGACAATATACACACTAAAGATTTATAAAAAAAAAAATAAAATAAAACAATAAACCATTTATATTCACCTGTAAATTTCACATGCTTTCAGACTGAATGCACCAATAATCAGGTAGCACTAAATTTCAATAAAATTATCAAATAGAGACACTGAAAATCTACATGTTCTTTTTTTGTTTTTTTATCAAATTATTGAGTGGGTGCTACAACTTACTTTTCATTTTTTTCCAGGGAGATGGCAGCTACAACTTGTTTCTATTTTTTTTTTTTACTTCCCGGGAAGATGGCAGCTACAACTTGCTATTCTTTTTTTTTTCCCCACCTCAGGGTGATGATGTCTACAACTTGCTTCCCCACCTCCCCCACCAAAGAGATGGCAGCTACAACTTGCTTTTTTTTTTTTTTCTCCCCCCCCCCCTTCTCTCCAGTATTTATAGAAAAAGAAACAGACAGGCAACTTTACAGTAGTGAGAAAGTGACTGAAGCAGAGCTACCAGATCAGGACCAATAATATTGCTGATTCTTTGGATTTTATCAAGGAGCTCAAGGTAAATAGCAGAAGCACCAGACCATTAATTATAGAAAAAAACCAGTAAGTCTTATTGAATTTTCAACATGACAGTATACAGTATTTATGCACAACTCAAATCCTTTGGCAACATTTCAAAACAAATCCTCTAACATTTGTGGAATTAGGTTATAGAATTTCTTAGATGTTCACTTAAATTGTCCAGAGTTGTAATCATGAAGTCTCTGGCCAGTAATTTCACCAATAAAATGAAATTATTAAGAGTCAATTTTGATGAAGACTTACAAGAAATGTTGCTCTTTCAAACAACAGGATTTCTTCAGCATCAATGGCATTGGCAAAATGAGCCAAATTAGTTTCCAACTGTTGAACATTTGGAATCAGCTGATACACAATCGATGACCAAGCCTAAAAAGAAAAAAAAAAATCATCTAACGTTTATTCTGAAGTTGAAATTGTCGTCTGAATTACACAAAAATGAAAATAACACTGACATTTCATTTTAACAGATATATTTACCAAAATTACACAAAAATATCTTTATATAGTAAAGAGTAAATATATTTAATAAAATCGCCATTGGCTTCAACTATGGCCTCCAGACAACTTTGGGATCTCCTGCAACTCTTCTGGATGGTCTCCTTGTATAAGTTGGTGAATGCTGCCATAATCCTTACCTTCAGTCTGGTGTTACAATGAGTTTTGTTGGTCTCTCGCTCAACTGCACCCCACACATAATAATCAAGGGTGTTGCAGTCTGTGGAGGCCAATATCAAGGCACTTGATGTAGGCCTCCATGTTGAGTCTGAGGCCCTGTGGGAAGACAAATTGAGGCATAATGCTGACATCACACATGATCATTTCAAACACCTTTATAATAACCATTAGACTCATCCAACTCTTTCTGAATCCTCAGCACTGTCTTAAATTGACACCCAAACACTCTAAAATGTTCATATTGGAGCTTCCAGCAGGAATGCCACACAGTACAACAAGCCGTTTCCAAATTTCTGGCAAAGGGAATTGTGTCATGATACTCTTTTTCTCACAGATGGTGCCCAACTGACCCCACTATACTGTGCAGTTGACAAAATTAAAAACAACGTGCATGTGCAAAATATAAAATAGCAACAATTTTTACCCATCACACCCTGTAAATCCCAAAAGTGACACCCACTGGTGGTACAGTTAAGCTTCAATACAGAATTATCTCCCCTTGATGTATTCACCATATTTTCAGGTTTTATGTTATGTAAAATAATTTTAATTTGCTGTTAAGAAAAGGTTTTAATAGAAAAGCAATAGAAACGGGATGGATGGATTTATTTATTTTACAGCTTATCAACCTTTTCCAGGTGTTATAAAACCAGGAAATATTTTAGATTGCAATTTTTTTTTTCTTTTTTCAAAGAGGACAAGACGTAGATTCATACCTTTCCCAAGGGTATTTGTGCGTATACAAATATAACGCACCCAACTGGAATTAGAACTTGTCTCACAGATTTCCAATTCCGAACAGGTATCCATTACACCACCCGCTATTTCCAAGCAGTAAACCATCTAGGTACTGTAACTAGGTTCGACATTGCTTAACTTTAGGAAATGTGCACAAACCAGTGGAGAAAATCAGTAAATGAGAAGTGGAAAAGATAGAGAAAACAGTAATTTTCTTTTAAGTTTTGAAAGTTTTTAAAAAAGTGGACCAGTTGATGTGTGTAGAATTGAAGAAGATTTACCTTATATAATGTTTCGTCCCATATTGATGTGGCAAAGCAGGTACACTGTAGTGGTTTTGATAATCTTTTTAAATCATCTTCTCTTTCATGGAAAATCTATAAGACATTAAATTGTCAACAATTCAGATACATATTAAACTATGCACACTGAAAAAGAAGACGATGAAAAGACAGAAAAAACGATGACAAAAGAAAAAAATGACCTTTTCAAATTGCAGAAATTACTGAACTCTATAAAAAAAAAAAAAAAAAAAAAACAACCATAAATTTTAGGGTATGTTTCTAACAAAAAAAAAAAAAAAAAAAAAAAAAAAAAATTTGTTTTGGAATAAAAATTCCAAAACAAATTTACACAATATATAAATCGCATCCTTTTTTTGTAATTAGAATAAGAGATAGGCCAGGTATTCATAAACATTTTAAATTGTTAAAAGACAGAAGGACTGAAAAGTCGGAAACCGATTTCAAATCTCGTTTCATAATATTAAAATAAACCAATGACTACTTACACTATCTCTCTGTTCTTCATGCACCAAATCCATTTTATGCACTAAACAGAAAACTTTTGCCTCAGGTGAATTCTGAAGAATGGCCTCCAAACATGACTGATAATAATGCATGTCTTTCTCCAACTCTCTACTCTCAACATCAAAGACATAAATTAACACCTCAACATTACGGAAGATGTTGTCCCTCTGGCTGGCAAAGTAGTTTTCCATAAATGCCTCTTGCCTGGAGCAAGAATGAAAAAATAAATAAATAAAATTTTGACAATCAGAAAATAAAAAAGGGACAAATTAAGTTCCTTTGATATCTCCTAAGATCCAATAAATAATAAGATTACTTAGAATATTTTCCTAAATTTTATGGTTACTGGGTAGTTAAAAAAAAAAAAAAAAAATTTTCACTTACATCATATTAGTCAAGTAATTTTTACAGCTATGTTTCTCCATAGAAGAAAATTTTAAGTTTGTCAAGGTCGTGTTGACCTCACAAAAACAGCCACCTCCATGTTAAAAAAAAAAAAAAAAAACTTTTCTGTGATATTTTAAACTAAAATTATTATTTCCTTGAAAGTAGATTAATTAAACTTTAAGTCAGCTGATCTTCCTCAATTAAAGTTTCAAAAGATCATTTTATTTATTTTTTAATAATTTTTTCATAAAGAGAATCATGATTTGCTAATATGGCTGATTTTTAGCAATTTTAACGATTTCCAAAATAAATAAAAGTAAATAAATAGTTCCAATCAATATAAATTCAGTTTGAAATACAGGGAATTATTTTGCTCATAGGAAATATTAACTTTAATCTAATAACTTGAAATTAAAAGTAAAATAATAAAAGCTTTTCAAGAAAGATTGTTCATTTTTAAAAATACATTTTAAACCTGAGGTATTGCTTTTCTTTGGCGACTATATTTTTTATATATATATATATATATATATATATATATATATATATATATATATGTGTGTGTGTGTGATGGCTGCAAACTTTTACTTGAGTACTGACATTGCTTGATCAATCATTACATGTCTTGCTCTAAGCCAACCAGTTACTGGTCTTGTTTACCACAAAAGTTACAGCTGAAAAGACCCATGACATCTGCTGCTGCTGCTTCTAATTATAGTCTCTTTAGGCTTCCCAAAAAAGTGCACTCTTTTACACAAGGTTTACATATTTATCCACATGATCACCCAAATGGTAATGTTATACAACGTCAGCATTAACATGGGATTGGAGCCAACTCATCTTGATTAGAATAATTTTTGTTTTCTAAAACCTGATTATTTCTATGACTTTCATATTTTTTTAAAAAATGAAATATACTTTTCTCAAACTTTATTTGAAGAATATTAGCTAATTTAAAGTTTAATTAATCCGATTTGAAACAAATATTACTCTTAGTTTAAATTATTGCAGAAATGCATTTTTACCATGAAGGTAGCTGTTTATTTAAGTTTTCTTGACTGACAGGAGTTTATTTAATTTTTTTCTACAGTGGGCATATCCATAAAAAATTCTTAATGAAATTAATTTTAGAATTTTTAACTACACAGTAATTTTTAAAAATTAGGAAAATATTCTCTATAATCTAATGTTTTACCAAATTTTAGGTACTTTAAATTTACTAGAGTTATCATTCTTATTTTCTGCTAATATCGTGTATGTACATCCATATCTATAAAAATCAGCACATTTACACAAACACAAAAAAAAAAAAAAAAATTCAAAATATTGGTGTTCGATGAAGTGTACTAAGCTTTTCCATTTATGATTACTAAATATAGTTTGTTTTTTTTTTTTTTACTTAATAACAATATCACCTAACCAGCACAAATTTAAAATTTAAAACTTTATAATTTATTCTAATTAAAATTTTTAAAAATGAAAACAATTCTTGTAAAAATTCGTTATTCATCTAATTTTTTTTTTTTTAAGACAACAGTGACATTAATATATCTTATTCATAAAATAATTAAAACCTTTTTTAAATTAATAATGTCTTAGTTTTATTGTATTTTTATTTTATGATTCAGACCAGATTTTTGGTAACTGATGTTCCTATTTTAAAAAAAAAAAAAAAAAAAAAAAAGTGGCATAATATTTAATTTCTCAAATTACATTTTGTGTCTGACATAGTGGTATAAAACTGTCTAAAAACAAGATCTGTTTATCATTTTTTTTCTTTCTGTTTTTCTTCTTCGTCCATGTATTAAGGTGTTATTATATCATGGCTATAATAATGCTCATAATGGGGGGAAATACAAACTGAGAATATTCCTTTCTCACAATGCAGATATATCATTATGATCAGTACATTAAGGACAAACATCAAAGAGTGTTGAGAAAGGAAAAATAAAATGATTCCATACCCTCCACAATCCCAAAGATTGAGAACCAGATTGCCAAGAAATCGAATATGTGAATGTTCTACATCAACTGAAAATTTAAAAGAAAAAAGAAGAAACATGAGTATTTTTTCATAAAAATAAAAAAGGCATTTCAATGAGATTTTAATTTATTTTCAACAAATACTTCATATTAACTTATGCTTACAGCCATATCAAGTTGAAACAGATTCTCATCCATTCAACAAAGTTAAGCAATGTCAAGCCTAGTCAGTGCTTAGATAGGTGACCACTTGGGAATACCAGATGCCGTAAGCTTCAATGTGTGAATGGTGTAATGTAAGAGCTCAGTTTTAGTCAATTTGTTTTTTACAGGTCATCAACCCTTTGCAGGTTATTTAAAGCCAGAAAATGTTTTTAGATTGTAAGAATTTGTGGAGTGGGGGACAACCAATAATGATGTATTGATACAAGTTTTACTAATTAAACATTATCTGGGAGAGGAAGAGGTGTATTCATACCCTTCCCTAAAGTTACTTGTGCATAAACAAATATAGCAAAACTAACTGGAATTGAAACTGAGCTCTCCAATTAACAATTCCAAGCTATTATCCATTACACCAGCCACACATCCAAGCTTAAGGCACCTGGTATTACCAAGCAGTCACTCATCAAGGTAATGACCAGGGTCGATGTTGCTTAACTTTGATGATCATACAAGAACCAGTGTTTCAACCTGATGTGACCATAAGCCTGAATGAGATGTCAGAAAGCCAAGTTCGGATTCTAGTCAGGTTCATTATATTCATTTACATGCAAATACCCTTGCGGAAAAAATGTAAATCCATTCTCCCCCACCCAATCTATTGGTTAAATAGTAAGCCATGTATCTGAAAATGGTTATTATCTCCAAGAAATTGTTAATACAAGAGTCACAAAAAAAAAAAAAAAAAAAAAGCATCTTTATAATCTGTAGTTACAATGAATTGAAAGGTCAAAGGATTATGTCATTTTCCCAAAATAATTTAAATATACACAAATAAGTAAAATAAAAAAAAAACATGCATAATTAGCTAAAAGGGTACCAATGAAATAGACTAGCCTTTTTTTTTTTTTTTTTTTTTTACAAATGTTGTATCCTGAAAATGTGCTGACATCATTGATATCTGCATAATTTTTTTTTTTTTATTATGTAAACTTTTGTTCTTTTATTAAAAAAAAGAATATGTTTGGTGTGGGGAGAGATGAGTTTCACATGACAAACAATTGCTTGTTTATTATTATATATAATATATATATATATATATATATATATATATATATATATATATATATATATATATGAGAGAGATAACAAATCTGTTTAAGAGACTGGAAAAATACCGTACTACAAAACAGATATACATAAAAAAGTGTGTGATGCGTATAGCATTATTGCCGGAGACCATACAGTCAAAACCTAGGTTGCGAGCAGTTACATAAGGTGTTTTTGCTCCATTATTTTTTTTTTTATATAATATTTATTTATTTATGAGGTGTTGGTTTCTATTGGATTTTAAACTGGCCCACTGAAACAAGAAAGCATTTCAGTGGAACAATTTAAAATCCAACAGACACCAACAGCTTATATATATATATATATATATATATATATATATGTGTGTGTGTCTGTACAAGGATGATGGTCTATTAATTTCAAGAAATTGCAATGGTAGAACTACAGAAAAAATAAAAGAAATAATCAAAACCCTAGAATTTACAATTCATATAAAATCCAACCAAAGAATAGTAAATTTCTTAGAATAACCTTCAACTTAAACAACAGAACATACAAGCCATACAGAAAACCAAATAACTCAATATATATTAACAAAAATTCCACCCACCAACATTCAAACAAATACTCATATCTATAAATAAAAGAATTTCAACAAATTCTAGTAGCTTAAAAATATTCAATGAAAACAAAAACATGAATCAGCTCTAAGAATCAGCAGATAACCAAACAAACTAGAATACAAAAATGAAACAATTCAAACAAAAACAGGAAAAGAAACATAATTTGGTTCACCCCTTCTCCCATTACAACAATACAATAAAAAACAAAAATAAGGAAAATAGTCTTCAAAATAATTGACAAACACTTCCCTAAAAAACAGCAAATTATCGAAAATTTGCAATAAAAATACAATCAAAATTAATTAGAACTGCATGGGTAACATGGAGAAAATAACTAAGCACAATAATAAATCCTCAACAAAACCAATAACAATTACAACAACATAAAAAAAAAAAAAAAACAACACCATCAAATGCAGCTGCAGAAACAAAGAAAATTGCCCACTTAGCAATAAATGTTCAACCAATAACATAATATATAAAGCTATTGTAACTAATAACATTAACACAGACAAAACAAATTTACATAGGTAGCTGAAGAAAAAAGAAAAAACAACTAAAAGAAAGATATTATAACCACAAAATGTCCTTGGAAAGAAAAAAATACAGAAACTGAAAATAAAATAAATATAATATAAACTTTAAATAAATGAAATAAATAATACAAACTTTAAAAAAATATTAGTAAATGAACAACCAAATATTAAATATATGCACTTATACATGTCCTCTATAATTAATACCACAGCATATAACACCAAAGCAAAAAGAAATAAACTACTAACCATTAAATAAAAATGAAACATTAGATAAATAACATATGACATAAGTAAATATTTAATTTACTACTTATATACTATTTAAAAATTATATGTGTGTGCATGTGTGCATAAGAGAGTACATACACCATATACATATTCAAACAGCAAAGAAAACGTTCTATATACCCAACCAACCATAATTAATATGCTAATAAAAAAAAAAAATACCTTTACTATTTAAGCACTAATTTATTAATAAAGCACAAACACAAATGTACATGTACCTGTGTATATGCAAACATATAAATACAGGCATATGTACATAAATTCAAACAATAAATAAAAATTTAAATAAACCTAACCTACAATTAATATTTAAGATAGCACCAAACAAGAAAACAAAATAATAGGCAAGCGAAGACACAAACATATTTATCATTTAAGTATTAATATCAATTACTTATGTAGAAAACAAAATACAACTTTCCTAGCCCAAGAAAAGACTAGAATGCTCAAAAATTAAAAATAACCTATCTAGAGAAAAAAATGGAAATAAATAGCCACAAATGGCTACAATTGATAAAAATGGGGAAAAAGGGAAAAAAAAGAGGAAAGCTAACAAGTGAGTGCAAAGTTTGGGAAAAAAAAAAAAAAAAAAAAAAAAAATGAAAAGGACAAATAATCTAATAACGACATCTTAAACATGCATCCATCCACAAACTCACATACAAACAACAGGGAAAAAAACTTACATCATAAATGCATAAAAAAGAAAAATTGAGAAATACAAGCAGTCAATTGCTGATACTCTCTGAAGAGTGGACAGGTCCATCTATGAAACTCTGGAGTCAGGATGCTGAAGGCAACATCAATCAGCTAAGATACAAACTTTATTTATATATATATATAAAAGCAAACACTTTCTGGTTATCAGACCTGATAGGGTTAATCCATTTATATATATTTTATCTACTTTAAACATTATTTTTAAATGGATACTCATATTTGAGTAGAGGCTCTGTTTATTTATTAAACAGTATATTTTTGTCTATTGACATGAATGTTTGAGAAAATATACACTCTCCAGTAGGATTCAAACCCTCATCCCTCTGGGCAGAGGAAGCTATTGCTAAATCCAATACACTCTGATCAACTGAACTACAGAGAACCAATCAGTCAGGCAAGGCCAATATTGTACCTTTAAGCAGAACTTGTCATAGATCTACTGAAATTTTTCATATTGGTTAAGTTTTGTATCCAGATGTAAACAAATACGAGTATCCACTAAAAATAATGTTTAAAGTGATAAAAAAAAAAAAAAAAAAATCTGCCAGATTAATAAGAAATCCATTACTTTCTCCAGTTTTGGTCATTGTACACTCCGGCCTTCGTCAGGTGATTGGAAATAACAGAGACATCCAGAAGAGGAAACTAGAACAATCTACCTCAGTGGATGAAATGAAGGGTAAAGTTCAAAATTCCAATCACCTGAAGAAAGCTGGAGCATACAACGGACAAAATGTTGTGAATATGGAAATGAAGATGGAGATAACAGTGGACTACACTGCAAATAAGAAACAAAGAATTGTTCATGTACCACTAACTCAATCTTTTTAAGCAACAGCACACCTAGGAGCAAATGAAAATATTACAGAACACTTAGCAAAATTTTCAGAGTATATACTGTCTTCTCTTGAACTTATCTGCACTATTTCAAATTATGCATGCACAACAGCAGAATAAAATATCACTATGAAAAAAAAAAAAAAAAAAAAAAAGAAAAAAAGAATTTCAGTACAATTAATGTAATTTTCTTTGTATACAAACCTCAGAGTAATATACTTTTTAAAAATTAAAAATTATTAAATCAAATGCTCAGCGGTGCAAATTGAAAACTTTGACAATATTAATTCATAATTGAGTATAACTTTGTAAAAATTATGAATTAAACAAAGAATGTTGAATACAATTATATGAAAAAAAAAAAAAAAAAAAAATTACTATTCCTTTGTTCAAATAAAAGGAAAATTTGACAAAGTTAAATTAAAAAAATAAAAGTACTTTTTAAAAAATTAAAATAATATAATCGAAGAATAGTGAAAAGAATTATTTGAAAAACAGTTTAATACTTATTCCTTTATTCAAATACTAACGCAGTACTATTACTACTTCCCCACCCACACACACACACGTGTGTGTGTGTGTGTGTGTGTGTGTGTGTGTGGTGGCACGGCAGTTGAGATTGACTGCACTAACACCACACAAATTCATGAAGATACAAAATGAACACCAAAGAAGTTCCAAGTTGTCAACGCAGTTTATGCTTAACATGCACACAAAGATTTTCTGCCATATTGTGTAGGGATGGTGTCACCATCAGGAACCATAAAATGCCACTGTTGAATAACAATTTCATGAGAGTATATCCTGTGATTAATTTCCCTCATCCCAGCATAAGCAGCCCATCCATTGCCTCTTTCTGTTCACTGATCCAGCACCTCAATTATGAAACATTTTCCTGAACCTCGCTCGATACCACCGAATGCCTAATGAACTTAATTAAAAAAAAAAAAAAAAAAAAAATATATTGTGTACAAAATATTTTGATTTCAGCATTAAATAACCCCAAGAGATTGATAAGCCACTAAACAAAAACAGCAAGATGCTTAAAAAAAAAAAAAAAATGTAATGTGCATTTCTAATCCTTAAAAACATTAGACTTACTTGTGGCACCCAGTCGTCGTGTATCTCTGGCAATATAATTGGCAAATATAATCGATCGCATGCTGGTCTTTCCAGACCCGCTTTTCCCCATTAAAAGCACCTGAAAAGAAAAGAAAAAGAGATCATTGTTTCTAAGTTGTCATAGCAATTCTTGCACATCTGGAAAAAAATATATCAAAACGATAAACAAGGCATTTTCATTATAGGTTACATTCACCATATCAAATCATTTCAAGCATAGGCATTTTCATTTGTCTCCTGAGGCTGGTACTTCTAATATTAGCCATTTCCTTATATGGAAACATTCAGCATTCATTGACTGAGCAGCCAGTGTTACTAGAGTTACACTTTTCACTCCCTATCCATCAGGCTGAGATTTCAGTTATTTTTCAAAAGTTGAAATGGCAAAGTATTACAGAAAGCATTGGCTGAGTTAGAATGGCAAGTGATTGGTCAGAATACACCATGGGCATGGAATTCTAACAGATGAACTGTCTTCTTTGTCTACGTTTTGGATACAAGACCAAAACAGCACAAAAATGGTAGAGGGCTGCAAGAATTTCAAAGTGCCAACATACTTTCCGCACACAGATACCATAGAGAGGCTGAGGATACACATGGTGGAATGTTAAGTCAACTAGAGGGCACGTCTTTCTCAGAAGTTCTTCCAATATCTTCTGTCTCCTTCATATGATAAAACAAATAAGAAAAGAAAATGTCTTTTATTGATAGTCTATGAAGAGTTGTTGGCGTCTGAAGAGCTGAAGCCAGTAATTACATGGAACACAACAGTAGTAACATTATATTAAAAAAAATATAATCAAAAAAAAAAAAAAAAAAAAATCAGAGCCTCACTTTGTGCTTAAAAATATGATTTTTTTTGACAAAACTGTCTTGTCATGCTTATAAGAATTGTATTAATAAAACAAACTTTTTCTAAGCATCAGATAAATTTTCGCTATACCTGGTCAGATTTCGTAAATTCTCAAGTAAACTTTAATTCATGCCTATTTTGTGCTTAAAATCCAATATGATGTATGTCAAAATCCCACAATCAAACACATTGGTAATCCAAATTTTTGTTTATAAAAATTGTTGAAGGTGAAATAGTATTGACTGGAAGAGAGACAGCAAACTTTTATGATTTTAGCTATTAGTAAAGAGACATTTGTTTTTGATTGTGTTAAATACTTTTTTAAAAAAAGATTTGAGCATTTGTTAACATGTGACACTGGAAGAATGTTGATAATTTGAAGAAAGAAAAAAAAAAAAAGCCTAAAATTAAATTGAAAGTAAACAGAAAGACAAAGAAGGTAGTAGATAGATTGAAGGACATACCGAAAACAACAAGAAAATCTACTTTAATTTTTCTCATTCTGTGAATAAAGACCTTGTTAGAAGATAGTGCTGAAATCCACTTAGGCAAAGTTGAATTGTCCAGCACTAATTGGACACAACATCTTATTGTGTTTTGCTAGCTAGGACCTATGGATAGTAAGTGGGGTAGGGTGTTGGCCTCAGTTGAGGACTAAGAGACCACCCCAGAGAGCAGATAAGGATTTTACAATAACATTAAAAGTAACACCTGGTTTGCATCAGCCACCCATGGGTCAGGTAGAGCACCTATTCCCTGGATGGAGGCAGCATGAGAAACTCATATGAGAAAGTGAGAGGAAAATGAATATGCCCACTGAAAAATACTGGTGTGAGGTGTGAGTAAAAGAAGGGAGGAGAACAAGATGGCAGATCTACTGGAGGAGCTCCCCATACTTGGACATAGAAGGACCACCCAGCAGCATCTGTGGAGAGATTTGATTGGGTGACAGGAGATTCAAAGGCATCCCAGAACAAGCCAAACCCAACCCAGTTTTTGAAGGTTGGACCCCATAAATAGCCATGCAAGAAGAGAAGACAGAGAGAGCAGCAGTTGAGGCAGAGACAAGCTTCATTACATCATGTGATTTGCTTCCAGGATGAACTCCTGACTCATGTCTTATTCTAGACTATTACATAAATTGAGCAGAGTGCCTACATGAAATTGCAAAGTATAAGAATTGAAAGTCTCTATATAACAAGAGAGAGAGAAAAAAAAAAAGAGGGAGATAAATGTGATGTCAGTATTCCATAATTTACTGCCTGAAGAATTCTTCAACTTAAGAGTTTGAAACCTCAATAATAACTTGGAAACGAGGAATAACGTGTCGGGAAATTAGACTATGAGGGAATGGTCATTAGCCTGCATGCTTGTAGATTCAAAAAAAAAAAAAAAGTGTTCCTGTGTAAACTTCAGTTATATAAACTTTATTGATTTACACAACTTTTTTTTTTTTTTTGTCTTATAATATAGTCCCACCTGAATGACGCCAATCCAGCAATATCTGACAACAATTCGATCCTGGCCTGCCTTGTGATCAAAACAAACACAACATGGGACAGGAAGCAGCTTGGATCAAAGTGACAAACTTCACGGTTAGCCACAGAATTCAATCGCAGATACACCGGTAACCAAGGACAGGTGAGTGTTGTCATGTAGCGCTGAGGTGAGCACATCTCACAGCGTTATAAACAGAAACATTGGTGTAAAGAGTTTATTTTTCTCCGTGCCCACATTGCTACTGAATGTGACACAAGGTTGAGGTTTAAAATGGGTTTGGTGGCGATACCATGCAAAAATTGGCACTTCCCTTTTTGTTTTTTTGTAAATTAACTCAAAGATTACACTTGAGTTTGAAGCCCTTCTAGAGCAGTTGTTCCCAAACTTTTTTCCCTCTGGGCCACATTTTCAGAATGAAAATTTGCTCACACCTCAAATTTTATGCGATAAAAAGTACATATAAAAAAAAAACAAAAAAAAAAAAACACAGAGACTTAAAGGGAGATAACCGCAGGTTTGAAGCCAGGACATTATCATTGATAACTCTACCTTCCAATTTGCAGACCCTAGTTACTATATTCTTAATACTTGATATAATGTAAAAATATCACAATGGGGTCAGACAATAATTATTTATAACTATTTATACTGGGACAAGTAATCTATAATATTTTAAATTTTGAAATCATTTATTTTTGGCATATAAATTTTTAAAACTGTTTCTAAATCTTTAATCATCTTTCAATCATTCTGCCTCACCTGCTAACCTCTTCTGTTGCACTTATGAGGCAGGCTACACCTTTTGGCAACCACTGTTCTAGAGGAGGAAACATTGTTCTGATATAGAAATTCATATTGTATCATATTCTCCCATAACATTGTGCACAATAAAATTTGTAATGCTTTTTATATTGCTATTATTACCAAGTTGGTGTTGCAATTCTGTTCTTGAGGCATAGTGCCAACAAGACTCCTTACAACGAGAGAACTTCTTGGAGAATCCTCACAGTTTTTTAGAATTCTATAATGTTGGTGTCAATTCCAGTTTTTCATTAGCATTTCAAGTTTTGTATGCATCCACTAAATTACTTTAACAGTGAAACAGATTGAGGTTGTTTCAGCACCTCTTCATAAAAATCTTTTTTTGTAATCAATTCACCCCAAGCAAGGCGATAATGCCACTAAAATGCGCTGGGTTACTGGAAATTAAAGCATAAAGAAGATTTTTGAAGGGACTAGAAACCCAATCCAAAGGATTAACCACTACTCCTGTTCAAAAGATTGGGGAGTATTGTGAACTGGATCATAAGTAAATCTATCTACTCCTATTTAAAAAAAAAATTATAAATAAAATTTCAGAGATTAGGCAGTGACATTAGGTGTATAGAGTTGGAATAAACTTGAGGAACCAGAAACTGAATCCTAAACAGAAAACAAGATATATACCTCTGCTTCTGTTCAAAAGAATGTGGAAGAGTGTCAGGAGTTCATAATTTCATTGATTTAATGTGTATGTGTGTGTTGTTGTTATCACATTGTTTCAATCATTGTGTCAGTCTTCATCAGGTGTATGTTGATCCAGTAGGTTACCAGTATGTAAATAACATGTAATGTTATACAGTTTATACAGGGAAAATTGTCGCCATTTCATATTTTTAATTTTGTGCACGTGTGTTTTTGATTTTATCAACTGCACAGTGTAGTAGGGTCAGTTGGGCACCATCTGTGAGAAAAAGAACACCAGAAAGCAATTCATTCCACCATAAATTTGGAAACGACATACTGTACTGCTTGGCATTTGTGCCAGAAACTCCAATACAAACATTTCAGAGTGTTTGGGTATCAATCTGAGGACAGTACAGATGATTCATAGAGAGTTGGAGGAGTCTAATGGTGATTATGAAGGTATTTGGAATAAACACTAGTCAAAAGTGTATACAGTAATAGTGTAATAAGCGTCCTTTTGACGCAGTTTTTTTTTTTTTTAGAAGGCCGACAAGAAGGTTAAACATTGCCTTTTCAATAAAAAAAAAAAAAAAAAATTAAACATTTAGAAGAACATTAATTTATATAAAAACTCTAATGAGTGACTAAGTTCTGAAATTTGATAACAACCTTATCAGCAAATTAATAAACATTTTGTGCTGAATAATTTCTATCATCTGTCAGCTGATAGATACACACTTGATGCCAGCAAGAAATTTCAAAGTACATCAACTGGGGATTTTTTTGTTTTTTTTTTATATGTAAACTGATCTTTGGATATTAATCTCAGTAGCAACAGATCATGTGAAAAATAAGAAAAACTATGTCAAGGATAGAATATATGGAGTTGAACAAAGTTGGCAGAAAGAATTACAAACAGCTACCGAATAGCAATACATGCTCTCTTTGTATATTTTTGTAGGATTATCACACTGGCTACTAGGGTACTTCTCTTAATGCCCACTAGGTGCTGGTGTAATAAATTGCATAAAAAGGAAAAAATATAAATTCTCTCACTTTTTTTTTTTTTGGCTCTCTTAACTACAAGATGCGGTGGTGACAAAACCTGTTTAGTTTTCCCCTACCAGGGAGACTTCTTTCCCCAAATGAATGGACTTAGTTGCAACCAAACTGTCTGGTGGATGGTTAACAGCTAATCACACATACACTATCTCTCTCTCTCTCTCTATATATATATATATATATATATATATATATATATATATATATATATCAAAATT